TCTAGTTCATAAAATTAATTAATTTTATGGTCAACAACTCTTTTAGGAAGCTATAAATATATTAAAAAATTGGAAGAACATTAAAACACAATTTTCTGCATAGCTCTTCATCCTATTAATGATAATCTAATATTTTCAAGCAGTTAGGACGGTGAAATTAAAATTTGGTCACTTTCATCCAAAAAAAACCCATGTAAATAAACAATATCTGCCACAATAGGAAAGATTATTTAATTATTAATAAACTAAGAAGGAGATAAACTTATAGTTTTAGGGGATAATAAAAACATATTAATACTGCAATAAAATGGTACTTTATGGGTAAATAAATATCAAGTTGAATATAATTAGGAATTAAATAAAATTTGCTTCATGAATAATAATAGTTTTTGTTTTTCTTCAAAATAAATGGTTTTATTTTCTCATTTAGCTCAAAATCTATAAATATCTAACATTTAAGAAGAAACAATCAATCGTTATTTTTCAGAAAATCTACTAATCAATGAATGCATACATTTTTTCAAATCAGACACTTTTCCATTTTTTTATGATTATAACAAGTAGGTTCTCTTTGTTGTTGGTGTTTGTAATCTTTATATAATCAAATATCAAAATATTGAATCAGGAAAATTAATTATAGATTAAGTGATAAAATATAGAGATGTACAATAAAGTTCAAGTTTCATTATAGCATTTATGAGTAAAGATGGAAAATATTTAATGATTTCTGACTTAAAATCATGTTAAATTGATATTTTTGAGTTATAAGATCTTTGTTGAAATAATCAAAAAATTATTAATAATAAATTAAAAAATTTGGATCTAAATATTTTATATGTAATAAAATATATGGATTTTAACAAAATTTTCTTAATCAAATTTTAATTATTATTTTATTTCTTAAAATATATCAATTATAGAAAGATTAAACTAATTTTAAGGAAATTAACAAGTAAGAATAGAATAGAAAATTAATATAAAATTAAGATATATTTCTTATTTAGCTCAAATTTTCTCTAAAAATCTTATTTTGCTTTAAATTGGTATTATCTCATGTTATTTAATACTTATACTCTTATTATAAAAGGATCCTCTTAATATTTATTGAAGGATACATAAGAGTTTTTTATAAATCATTTTCATTAGATAATAAAGCAAATAAAGAAATATTCCAAACACAAATTCTAATACCCCATTATTCAACTTATTTCTTCTCTTTTACATATAAAAAGCATTCCATAATCAAAATAAAACCATCTGTTCCTAATACGATTAAGTCATCTGACTTTCACTCATCATTAGGGAATCTTAGAGTTTCAAAACAATTTAGTGCTGTATTTTAGGATTATACATTAAATTTATAGACCAGATAATAATTATATTATAGCATTCTTTCTTCCAGAAAATAGCATGATTATCAGAAAAAAATAGTTAAGTATTCGGACTTAATATACATAATCTTAATAAATTAATAACTAAGAGGGTATTTTTAGGATTTATAGATAAGATAAGGCCAGATCTCTATTTCTTTATCTCAATTGATATTTTGAAAATTAATTAATTATTTTTCAGTTTTTAAATTATTCTAATCGTTTAATAAGAAATCTTAAACTATTTCAAATAGTCTTAATATTTTCATTATTAATTTAATAGTATAATGAGGAAAATATCTTTTAAGAAATGTGTTAATTTTTTTAAAATATTTTACTCATCAATGTAAATAAATACTAATATAATATTTATATTATATTTAATTATGTCTCATTTATATTATAATTCATATGATGTATATCCTCCTTTATGATCATCCCAAAATAATAAATATTTTCCATCATCTGTGATTGTTCCAAAGATCCATTTGGTACTACAATCTAATTCGTTTTGGATTATAAACTTTCCATTGATATCTTTAATGATATATATAAAATTTTTAGATCTAATAAATATTATATTTTTTTCTTTCAAATATATTATTGGAAATAAAGCACATCCAATATTCTTATTAAAATTATGTAATTAGATTCTATTATCAATATCTTCATTAAATATACCATCTTTGAAATCAAATACACAAATGCAATTTAAATCTTTACTATAAGGTATCCAAATAAATTTATTATTTTTGATAAATTTGATGTGACAACCTGAACAATTCAAAACTTAAGTAAATACTTACTTAAAATAAAACTTATCACCTTATCCATATTCCCATACTATTATTTATTAATCATCTCCACTTGAAACTAATATATTTTCACATTCATTCAAACTCATAGCACGAATACATTTAGTATGTTTTTCTAGTTAATACATATATGTTAATTCATTTTAATTGAAATCTAATTTCCAAACTATAATTTTTTAATCTTCTCCTGCAGAATATAATTGATTTTCTTAGTTATTAATAATCATTGTTCCAATCCATCCTTTATGTTCTTTATAATGTTATGATGCTTTCCATTCATTTTATTTAATTTATTTCCAACAAATAATTGTTTTATCATTTGAACTTGAAATAAAACTATCCTATTTTTTACTATATAGTAAACAATAAATGTAATTAGTATGTCCTTATAAAGTTGATTAATAATTAAGTTTGCCATCAATCATATTCCATACTTTAATATCAAAATTACACATGGATACCATTTAAGTTCCAGATTTATTGAAAGCTATAGCATAACATTTACTCTTTTATTTTATATTTTCATCTATTAATTATAGATTAATCTAACTTTCTGATACTAATTAATTAGTATTTAATTATTCTAATTAAGATTATTAATTATTTTATTAAGATACTTTTTATGGCTAAATCTCTTCTTATTTAACTTGGATTGTTTAATTTAAATTCTATAATATTTCTTAACACTTTTAGTATACTCTAAATGAACTAAATTATTCTAACTTTTCATTTATTTTTATATTCCAAAAATTATTCACTTTATTGATTTCATCTACTAATAAAGATTTATCAATTGAATTTTCTAATTTTTTAGAAATTAAATTTTCTAATTCTTTATGAAAACTGTATTAAGAATACTCATGTCCAACACTTAATAAATTTTTAATCCATCCTCCACTGTATCCTATTATTTCATCTAATTAAAACACTATGGTTGACTTTAATTTATTAATATTTCCTAATAAATCTTCAATTTACTTTATATTAAATTAAATAGTCTTCTCTATTGTTTATACTTTCAACTTTTAATTTTTCTTAATTTATTTTGTGACTAATTCATATCCCATCGTTGAAAATTGTGTAGTAAAGTTCTTAATACAATCTGAACATAAAAGTCGTTAATTTAATTCTAATTTTGGATCCAGAACAACCATTAGAATAGGTAACTTGTGTTTATTAGCACATTTTAGATCCTTTTCTTTTTCTATCATAGAAGATTTAAACATTTGTTAAAATAAATTATCCTGAAAATAATTTGGAAATTATTATTTTTATATTGATAAATATTAATTAATATCAAGAATATACATTATTTTTTATTGATATTAATAATATCGATTTCATTTTTTAAAGGAGAATAAATTTGTATAAAATCAACTATTAAGAATTGAAATTCCATTTTTATCTCTTGATTTTACTTTAATCTTTTTGTATCATGGAGATTTCAATTTTTTTAATCTCTCGAGTCAGTTATATAAATGAAGTAATTGTTCAGAATACTTCATTATGATAACCTTTGAGTATATATTTACAATACAAAATGATTATCTTTCTTAGCCAGTATCAAATAGAACTATCGCCACTACTCAGATAATAAAGTCTTCTCTCAATATAGAATAGCAAAATTGATTTGTAATTCCATAATTGCGTTTTACAGTAATTAATCACATAATCTAAAACTTTTTGGATTCATTCAAAATAGTCAAAATTTAGAAGTCTATAGCTCTAAGATCATATTTAATTGATTTTAACTTAAGATATCAATAAAATTCAGTAATTAAATATTTGAGAATTCAAACCAATCATATCTCGGTTCAATTAAAACTAGTTTGATTATTTAATTATTGATTGATTTTGTCTATTTTTTTTTGGAAATTTAATGTTAATCAATATATTTTTAGAAAATAATGTTTCATTTTATATTAGTTTATCTTAAACCAAATTTAAAATAATTCAATTATATTTATATTCTCTTCTTTTTTTATTAAATTAGAAAATACATTTTATTTAGTATTCTTTAATCCATAATTATCATTTGATAAAAATTATTATTTTATTTTATTATTCACAAAACATTAAAAAAATTAAATATCATATCTTCTTTATTTGCTTGAATTATCATTAAAGATATAATTTCAATTTATAAATATTTAAAAGTTTCCCATATCTAAGACCAAAAAAGAGAATATTTGTGTGAGCACTTATAGATATTTTTTATATTATTTACATATATTATCCAGTTAAATATTAAACATAAAATAAATGTTTAAATACTCCTCCTTTAACAATCTACCCAAATAACTATTTTGATTTCAGACCAATATAAGTCAGATATGAAGAATTTATAAAAAACAAAAGGTTGAATATTGGTGTATTTAATCCTAATATACATCAAACACAAATAGGAACTAAATTATGATTATTTACTAACTAAATATTCTAATTTTTTCTTGTGTAATAGTAAAACAGATACTAAAGACTAAGTCAATTGTTTGATTTAATATAAAATAATTACTATGTGTTAAGTTAGCAACTAATATTCATATTATAAAATATTGATATAAATATTAAAATAATATATAAAAAATCTAGAAATAATGAATGAATAATAATTTTCTGATAATAGGTTTGCATGTATGATTCAAAAATTAACATTTAAAAACTTTAGCAACTTACAAGATTTATATTTAATACAATATTTAATGTCATATTCAGTACATTAGAATAATAAATGATAAAGTAACATGGTAAATATTTAGAAGAAGAAAATATTGCTGATTTCATCCTGCTTAAAAAATAATAATTATATTAAAAATCACTCAATCTCCATTTCCTCGCTTGGCTTATAATTTTTCTAGATTAATTCATAGAATTTCTCATTAAGGATTTAGATCTTTTCACACATATAATCTTAATAGAACTACATTAAGTAAATTTAAGAGCCAGAAAGTAAGTAACTTTCTAGTTCCTCTTCAAATTTCTCAAATTCTTCATTCAGTTTGGAATCATAAAGAGTCAAATGCATGAACGTCCAATCATTTCCACATTAACATTTTTTCCAAGCTAGTCTAAATCTATCTTGGTAACCTTTCTTATGTATATATTTTATTTTAGATTACTTCTCTTAACAACCTTTCTTTTTCACTCAATCGAAAAAGTTCATTTCTTATTTCACTTTACTTTAACCCTATATAATATCTTTCATATTGTAGATCATTAGCTATTAATAGTAGCTGCATTTAAGTGAAGTGATTCTGATTATATTTGTATTCCTTTTTGAATCTCCGCAATTATTAATTGAAGAATGCCTGAAATAAAATTATTTCCATAATTTATTTATTTCTTCATTAGGTATATAGGCAATCTCAGAGTCTTCTTTATGGAAATTCTTTATAGCGTTTACAATTTTCTCATAAGTAGCAGAAAGATATTATTAATAGTATTATTCACTAATAGAAAAATAAAAATTCTTGTATGTCCAAATCAATTTTCAAAAATTGCCAAGCTAAAGCATTTATTTTTCTAACTACATTTCTATAATTTATTAAAAGGAAGAGAATTTTTTGACCCTCTTAATTAAATGAGCACTAAGCTAGCGAATGGTTACAAAAATAAAGATTACATTGCATAAAGTAAATATTTAATTCTTTTACTTTAAAGACCTGAATTATTGTGAATAAATAAACAGATTCACATTCCATTTAATAAAAGATGAGCAAGTAATTTTTAGAACTAATTGTACCCATTATCCAGTTGGATTCTACTCTCCTCTCAAAAATCTCAAACTTAAATTGTCCTATTTTTATCAAGCATTTATTAATTTGTTAATGTTTCCAAAAATTGTTTCATAAATTTTACAAATTATTATTGATTATCTTTATTACACTTCCCAAATTTTTTTGTTTTATTTTACATTTTAGTCATTAATTAGTATATATTCTTAAAACCCAAATCTCGAAAGTTAATAAATTCTAAAATTTAGATCATAATTTAATTTAATTTATTGATAAACAGTAGTAAAATATATTGAATTTATAGATATTTACATATAATATATAAAATATCTGCTGATTTATCATGAATTAATTAATTCAAACTTTCGATTTAAAGATATAATAAAGATATAACTCTTGAAATATCAATTAAGTAATGAACCAGAGTTACAGAAGAGAATATATTGAATGATATAAAAAATAAATTTAATAAATCATTATGATTATTCATAATCATTTTTATTTATTTAGAATCCTTATAAATGCTGAAAATGATATTCTCTCTCTTATTTAATTTTCTCTTTAATTTTCTTTTACAAATAACTATCATAAGTTCTCTTGAGTTATGAAAATAAATCAATACTCAAATTAGAAGCCATGATAATAGAAAACATGGCAATATGAATCCAACCAATCATGATAAAATTATCTTAACTAAATTCAAAACTATAAGCTAAAAATGTTCCTGAAATAACCATTAATAAAAACTCTCTACATATAAGCTTAGAAAGTTCAAATATAGATTTTAATGGCTTAAATTTGATCAAATAAATTAAGAATAATAATGATTGGATAGAAAGCAAAATTGATTATACTTCTGGATAGTTTCTTAATTTTACAATAATTAATATATAAAACAAGATTCTGTAAATTTAAAAAGACTTAAATTAAGTGGCCCAAAATTCATTTTTTGTCTCATTGTAAAAATATTTCCATTTCTATTAATTTTTTATTGTAGCTGAAGTAATTTAAAGCAAATTTAAATTAGATATTAATATTATCATTAATCCAAAAATTGCATTAATATTTTTACA